GAATCCCAGAGGGGGTGGGTCTGCATAAGCCCTAAGTCCATGTGGGTCCTATAAGAGGAGTCTCCTGAGAATCAGGCAGTTTCTTTCACTGCCCCAACCCCCACTGGTTTTTATAGCCAGAAGTTATAGGGACTTATCTTCCTGGTGCTAGAATCCTGGGCTGCTGGGTAGTCTGGCTTGGGGTGGGGATCCCTTGCTCCTAAGGTATCCCTCCCAACTTTTATCCACCACATGGGGATATGGGACTTCTGGTTTTGCTGCCTCTCCGTGCCACCCTGTGGCTCCATGTCTCTCTGTACCCCCTCTACCTCTCTCTGCATCTCTGCCCCTCCGACCCATCCGGACAAATGTGGCTTCTTTAAATCCATGGTTGTTGGCCTTCCATACCACTTGATTTTCTGATGGTTCTGGGTAATATTTGTTTAGTTGTAGTTTAGTTGTAATTTTTTTGTAGTTGTGTGAGGAGATGAAGTGTGTTTACTTATGTCTCCATCTTGACTCAATGGCTATTCTTCTAATATTTGTCTATATAATACACATTTTACATAGTTGTAATCCTAGAGAACACAAACTTTTACATTTTGCTTTTGCGCTTAATATTTGTTACCTTTCTACTTAGTTCACAATTATATAATTAAGCGTGTGTAATATTCTATCGTACTCACAGGTCCTTCTCTTACTCTTTTATTCTTGGGTTGCTTCTACTTTGTTTAGCAGCACAGACTATGTAGGTGTCATTTTTGGTACAGGCAATCTGCTCCTTGGGCTATGGGGAGGAGCAGGAGACAGAACCCTGCCTTTGGCCACAGGGGACTGGCCCAGTCTAATGGCACTTGATATGAAGGGACAGGTAGGGTCATATAGGTTTTCATTTTTTACCATGTGCGGAAAATCAGAGAAAACTCATCTGCAGAGAGATAGAGAGTGAAGAATAAAGAAGAAGTGAAGAGAGGAGAAGAGGGAAGGGAGGAACAGAGCAAGACTAACTGCTATAATTCCAGATGGCTTCCCATCTCTGTCTCTAACTCTTGCTGAGGTACAACTACACTCTCTATTTTGGGGTCCAGAAGGAACCCTTGTCAACTCCCATTTGACATGTGTATGAGGTTGAACCGATCCTGAACATCTGGACTAGCCTGAGTGGGTTTCTTTTTCTTGTAGTCCAAAAAGCCTTATTGTGGATTGAATTGTGTCCCCCTCAAATTCACATGTTGAAGCTCTAACCCCTAATGTGTTGGGAGATTAGGCCTGTAGGGAGATAGTGAAGGTTAAATGAGGTCATAAGGGTAGAGCCCTGATACAACAGAACTGGTGTACTTATAAGAAGGGGGAGAGAGCCTTGGCTGGTGTAGCTCAGTGGATTGAGCACAGACTATGAACCAAAGGGTTGCTAGTTCAATTCCCAGTCAGGGCAAATACCTGGGTTACAGGCCAGGTCCCCAGTGGGGGCCACATGAGAGGCAACCACATACTGATGTTTCTCTCCCTCTCTTTCTTCCTCCCTTTTCCTCTCTCTAAAAATAAATAAAATCTTTTTAAAAAAGAAGAAGAAGGGGGAGAGACACAGGGGAAAGGCCATGTGAGGACACAGAGGGAAGGTGGCTACCTTGCAGGCCAAGGAAAGAGTCCTCAGGAGAAACTGAACCAGCTAACACCTTGGTCTTCCAGCCTCCAGACTGTGCAAAAATAAATTTCTGTTGTGTAAGCTACCTGGTCTGTGAGATTTGATTATGGTAGCCTGAGCAAGCTACTACCAGCCTTAACTTTAAAAATCTGTAGGTAGACATTTTTTAAATTCTTTGGATGATTTCCTATAAATATCTCTAGCAGGAAGACCTCGGGGCTCCAGATTCTTTTAAAATAAACATTGAATTCTGGAGATTTTTGGAAGCAAATGGAAATATGGGTAAATCTCTTTGACAGTTAAAAATAAGTGTATAGGGCATCTGGTCCCAGAACTAGGTGGAGTAGATGCATTTTTCCTTGATCTTCCCTGCTAAATATAACTAAGCACCCTGGAAATTATTCAACAGACAACAGTAAAGAGACTCTGAAATCTGGAAAGAGGGTGGATTGGCTGAGGACCTCAGGGCTTGGGAAATGCCAACATGCAGAGTCCCTACCTGCCCCAGACTAGGTACAGGAGAGGCTGGCAACCTGGAACTTCTAAAAGGAATAGACAAAAAGAAGCCCCCAGAATACCTTCTTTAAAGGACTTGGACATGGGAAGTTCAGCAGAGAACTAGTAAGGAGTGCCCAAACTTGCTTCACAAGCCAAGCCCTTAGCCATCCCAGCCCTTCAGCCTCAACCCAGGCTGGTGAATGGTCTGATCTGCCTACAGTGGTGGCAGCAGTGAAACTCTGTGTTTCTCTGTTCTCCACTCAGTGGCATAAAGAGACGCAAGTGTGGTGGCTTCTATTCCCCTAGAAGGTTGCTCAGCAGCAGAAGGCAGCCAGGAAAGTACCAGTGTCAGTAGGGATTGACTGGGAACCCCAGAAGTACCAGTCAATAATGACTCATGAACCCCAGAAGAATAAAGCAGCCCAGAATACCAGTGCAGGGACTCAGGAACTAAACTATCATTACAACTAATGTCCACAAAAGTATGTCAGGACCTAGAGGCTAAACCTAAATGGTAACTGCGTGCTTAAATAGAAGACTTAAATAGGCTCAAGAGTCTCCTAACATAACAACTAAAATGTCTAGGATACAACTGAAAAATCACTCCTAAGACCAAGAAAAAGGAAAGCCAAAATTTAAACAAGAAAAGACAATAGTGATTTAAATCTGCTGCTGGAATTATCTGTTAAAGATTTTAAAGCAGCTGTCCTAAAAATGCTTCAGTGACCAATCACAAGTTGTCCTGAAACAAGTAAAAAACAGAACATCTCAGCAAAGAAGTAGAATTTATAAAAACACACTGAAATTGAAACTGAACTGAAAAGTACATGAAATAAAATACTTGTTAAACAGACCCAGTAAGAGGGGTGGAGATTATAGGATAGAGCTGGAGATGATCAATAAAATTTAGTCAATCTGAAAACAGAGAGAAAGTAGACTGAACAGGGTCACATAAATATGTCCAGGTAATTCTGACAAAGGAACAAAAAGCACTTTGAGGGAGGAAAGATGGCCTTTTCAATAAGTGGTGTTGAAGCAAGTAGACATCCATAGGCCGAAACAATGAACCTTGGCCTAAACCTCATACTTTATACAAAAACAAATTTTAAGTGTCATGCACTTAACTCTAAAACCTAAAACAATAAACCTTCTAAACAAACAAGCAAACAAAAACAGGAGAAAAATCTTGGGGACCTGTGAGCAGAGAAAAAGAGTTCTGAAACCTGACACCAAGGGCACCATTCATGAAAGGAAAAAACTGATAAATTCGACCTCATCAAAACGAAAAACCCTTGCTCTGCAAAAGACCCTGGAAGGGAATGGGAAGACAAAAGCACAATCTGGAAGGAAATATTTGAAGTCCCCTATCTGACAAATATCTTGTATCTAGAATAAAGAGCTCTCAAAACTCAACATTAAAAGACAAACAATCCAATCTGAACATGAGTTCAATGTACGAATAGGTATTTTATTGAAGAAGATACACAGAGGGCAAATAAGCACATGCAAAGATGTTCAATGTGATTAGCCATTAGAGAAATGCAAATGTAAGCCTCGATGGGATGTCACTATCCACCTGTCAGAAAGGGTAAAAACTGTGACAACACTCAATAAGGAGCAGGGTGCAGAGAGACCGAACCCTCCTCCATCGCTGGTAGGGATGTGGCGCAGTCCCTCGGGAAAACAGTTTGGCAGTTTTTTGAAAAATTAAAATGAACTGACCATGTGACCTAGCAATTGCATCCTTGGGCATATGTCCCAGGAAACTAAAAACATATTGTCATGTAGTAACTACTACATGAATGTTATAGTAGCTTTATTTATAATAGCTCCACACTAGGAACTACCCAAACGTCCTTCAATAGGTGAGTAGAGTTAAACAAGCCGTGAAATACTACTCAGTAACAAAAAGGGGTAAACTATTCATAGATGCAGGGACTTGGATGAACCTCAAGGAAATTATGTTGAAGGTAAAAAGCCAACCTCAAAAGGATACCTCCTGCATGAATTCATTTACATAACTTTCATGAAATAACAGAACTGTAGAGGTGGAGAACAGATCAGTGGTTGCCAGGGGGCATGGTTTTGGCAACGGGAGGGTGGGCGTGGCTATGAAAGAATAGTGTGGGAGTCTGGCGGTTAAGGAAGAGTTAAGCATCTTCATTGTGGGGGTGGTTGCATGAACTTACATGTGTGATAAAATTGCATAGAGCTACACACACACACGATTGTATTTATCACTGGTAAGATCTGAATAAATGCCATGGTTTTATCAATGTTAACTTCCTGCTTTTGATATTGTACCATAGTTATACAGTCTCAGTATTGGGGGAGGCTGGGTGAATGGACATTTTTTTTAAATCTCTTGAAAATTGACAATTATTTCAAGTGTTTTTATTTTAAAATTATGTTTATGTTCAATAACAACACATATAAAGCTTTCTGAGTCTTTTCTAATCAGTCAACCAGCCAGTCAACAAGAGCAGTTGGCTGTGCTCGTGATGTGTGGCTTAGGTGCAGAAAACTGGGGAATAAAGATAATCCGAACAAAATAACCAAAATAACTACTATGTAACCACCCCAGGAGTGAGGGAACCTCACACCCTGGGATGGCACCTGGGCAGGTTTACCGAGCAACCAACCTGTGGGTGACTCTGTCCAATACTCTGCATGCACAGACTCACTTTGGGGAAGAGAAGCTAAAGAAATAAAAAGGAGGGTTTAAAGGGAGACAATCAGAGAGCAGTGGCAGAGGAGGGGGCAGGAAGCAGAAGTAGGAAAAGCTGAGGAGGTAGCAGAGGGGCTGCTACAAGCAGAGGGCAGAGCCCAGAGCAGAAGCCAAGGGTGGGGTGGGGGGAGCAGTGCTGGGCCTCCGTACCTGCACGAAGGCTCCCAGGATTTTCCGGGCTTCCTGGTAGAGCTTCTCTCCATCCCACTGAGGGTTGAGCCTCTTCAATTCCCTGGCCAGCCGGTTGTGCTCTCGGAGAAAGAGGGTATGGGAAGCAGCCAGCAGGGTCTGCTCTGAGGATCGGCCATCTCCTGAAAATCCAGAAGGCAGGAGGTGGGTTCCCCCAGCAGTCCCAGAACCTGGTAGTCTGCACCCAAAAAATAAACGAGGGTGCCCCCCAACCAGGGACCCTCTCCTAAGCCCCTCTTTGTAGTTAATGAGGGACGTAATATGGAGAGAGATCAGAGTGGAGACCCACAGGGTTGAATCTCAGCTCCACACACACACACTTTTTAGCTGTGTGACTTGCACAAGTTATTGAACAATTAATTCTAAGCCTCGCTCTTTGTATCCGTGAAAATGGGGATAATCAGGCCGACCTCACGAGACTGTGGTAAAGACTACAGGTGACATTAAAAAGTAAAATTTTGCTAATGCACTGTCCCAACTGCCTTTTAAGATGGGGCGGGCTATACAAACAGAACTTTGTACAGTGTGAAGCAACTTGGAAGGTTTTCGGAATGCAAGTCTGAGGGTAGGAGCCTGGTGGGGCTGAAGTCCTCTGTGTGATAAAGGAAGAAGAATTCAGGGTTGGGGGGAACGGAATGGGGGTGTCAGGGAAATGGTAAAAGAGCAGGTGTTTCTCAAGGAGACTGGGGTCCTCTAATCATCAAGAAAGTCTGTTGAATTCACAAATGCTTGTTCTTAGTGGATATTTTTGTGAAACACAAGAAAGGGCTCAGTTTTGTGCCTGGGTGGATATGAGCTACGTGCAGACACGGAATCTAAAAGAGTAAGAAAGAGATCTGGGCCTGCAGGCTGGCCTCGCCATGCCAGGGTGGGCAGGGGGTGGCCCAGGAGAGTGAATTTTTGGCAAAGGAGAGGCCTCCAGAGGCGAAAGGCAGAGAGGACCAGGGGCCTGAGGCCCCGAATGAACAGAACTGGGGGGCTCTGGTTGTGCACAGGCTATGTGGAGTGTGGGTTTTATGCCAAAGTTTAAAAAACGCCTTAAATATATCCATCCCCTACATCCAGAACTTCCTCCTCTTGGAAGTTATCTTAATAAAATTATTAAAATGAGCACAAACAATCATCAACAAGGATGTTGATTACCTATAAACAACAACAAAAAAATCATAGAAAAACTAGAAATGACTTGAATGTCTCCAAATGAGGTCGATAAAATAAGTTGTGGTAATATATGTTATGTAACCCCAGGCAGCCATTAAAAATCATGGCCTAGAAGAGTGTTTAAGTGATGTGCTAAGTGCAGACATCAGGTTATAGAGCATCACTAATGACCCTGATGATATAAAGTGTTATAGAACTGTAATAAAAAAAAAAAACCCTAGAAAGACAGGCATTAAAATGTTAGCAATGATTTTCTGTGGGTAGTGGGATTTAGTTGATCTTCTTTGCACTTTTATGGACTTTCTTAACTTTTTTTTCAGTGAACACATGTTCTCGGATTCTGTATTTATGTGGACCCTTCTGCCAGTCCTGAACCAGTGCCAGAGGCAGCAGTGGCTTGCTGTGCATTTTTCCAGAAGATGGTGAGAAGTCCCTGGAAGCTGCCTGGCAGCCTCACGAGGTTTCTCTGGCCTCCCTCTGCTTCCCACCTCTTTGCCCTTGGGCCCCTCTGTTCCTACCCTGGACTCACCTGTCAAGAAGCAGGGCACATGGGCAGTGGTGTTGATGAACTCACAGGGGCTTGGCTTCTTGTTGTCAAAGGGCAAGTAGGCCAGCCCATGGTCCCAGACCTCCTGGTTGACAGCCAGGAGGCCCAGGGGGCTGCTGAGGTTGCGGAGACGGCTGGCCAGGCCGGGCTCAGGGCCATACACAAAGCTGGCATCCAGGAAGGAGGTCAGAGCGTTGATCTGCTCTCGGGCCAGGGTCTGGAAGGGCGGAGCGGGGCAGACGAACCCAGCTCGGAAGAAAGTCATGCACTTCCCTTGAGTCCTCACCTTATAGTCGTTGCGTGGGAACTGCAGAGAGATTGGGGGCGGGTGACTGGGCAGAGGTGGTACATCTGGGCCCTGGCAACCTCTCCCCAGGGCATATCTGGGTGAAGCTGGCAAAGATGCTGATGGTGACCCTAGTATCAGACACCAACTCTAGACACCTCCTGCTGTTGCTACACATCCTGGGCCCACTGCTCCCTGAAGTTCATTATATCCCACTGTGTAAAAGGACTGCAGGGAGTCAGCCAATCTTCCAGAAATAGGGCTTCACATTTTTGGAGGAGAAAGAGCCTTGATATCCCTGGACAGGGAAGCAGAGCACGAGCAAGGGAAGGGTTTGTGAATAATTACTACCAACAGCAGCTACCATATATGAATTTTGCTTCTACCATGTGCTAGGCATTCTGCATATTTTCTCACTTTGGATCTCACAAACCCTGTAAGGTAGCTAATTCAGTACCATTTTACAGGTGAGAAAACTGAGGTTCAAAAAGGTCAAGTACCTTGCCCACAAACTTACAAACTGGAAGGGAAAGATGTAAGAATCAAATCCAGGTTGGCCTCAATCGATGGCTCGGTTTCTTTATACCGTAGCACGTAGCCTTGACTTGCTTGTTGTTCGAGTGAATAAATCACTCTCTAACCCTAAAGTCCATGAATAAGAAGCCAAGGGGCCCCAGTGCAAGTTCCTCTCCCTTCCTCCTGGAGATTCTCACAATTTCTAATTCATCCATCAAGTTTCAGCTCTCCCCAGACCCCAGGGTGACTTATTACAGCAGGGTTCCACAAACCTTACTGAGAATGAAGTGAATCTCCCAGTAAAGTGTAGATCCTGTGTCCCAATGTCTGGGAGGAGGCTTAAGATTCCTCCTAAGTCCCCATGTGGTGCTGGCTGGGGACATAAACAACCCTCCCCAGAGCATCCCAGTTTTGCCATTGGAGGTTCCTTGTCCATTTCCCATGCAGGCCCTTTGTCCTCGAGGGGAGACACAGTGTCTAGTTTGTCTTTGAATCCCTAGCACACCGTGCACTGCCTGGCATGAAGGAGATGATTAATGTCCATTTACTGCATAAATGGACAAGTGAATGAATGGACATGTGAGGAGTAGGAAGCTGTCAAATCAGCACTCAAGGTCTCCTTAGAGACTCTGGGGAATGGGCTGCAAATGTCTGCCCCACGAGGGGGGCCAGGGCCTGTCAGGGACGTGCAGTGCAGGGCTCACCATGATGGGGAAGCAGTTGCCTCCTTGGATGCAGTACTTATCACATTGCTCTTTGGAGTACTTGCTGCTCCCCAACTCAGTGTCAGGGGCAAAATCCAGGTCATGGTCCACAATTTGACCCCACTGCATGAACAGCAGGGATCTCTTTGGGTCCAGAACACCCTCCTCATTCAGATAGCTTGCAATTTGGTTGGATACCTCACGGGCCTGCAGGAGAAAGAAGGGGCAGGAGGGTTGGAGGAAAATGTGCTTTGAGGATTCAGGTTCAACCTACAATGTAACATTTATTTAATCCCTATGAGAAGCTTGTGAGGCACTTGGCATTATCCCCATTTTGCAGATGAGGAACTGACCTAGAGAAGCGAGGCCAGCTCTCCAAGGTCAGCTACAAAAGGGCAGGGACAGGATTAAAACGCAGGTGTGTATGACTTGAAGGCTTGAAAGGCTGGTGCCCTTCCACTATGGAGAAGGGAGACAAAGACAGGCTGCCTGAAGTGCCACAGAGCCGCCAGGTGTCCGGGAAGAGGAGAGGGGGCAGGGGAGGGCCTGCCAACTCAGATGAGGCCAGCAGATAGGACCTCCAGGCAAGGGACAGCTGATGCGCTCCAGGGGCTGGGGCGGGGTAAGCAGGAGCAGGATGGGATGGGGAGGCCATCTGCCTAGAAGACCCCAGGGGATCTGGCCAGTGGGCAACTAACTGGGTAGTGACCGTCACTTGGCTGGGCTCCTGGCTGGCTCCGAGCTCTGCCGCCCTCTGGTGGCAGTTTGGGGATTATCGCCCGACAGCAAGTCCCAAATGTCCATCTCCTGAAGCAGCTCCACCATGCATCCTCTGTCCTCTCACCTAGCTCTTCGTCCTTGTTTTGCGGGTGCAGAGTACATCTTGTCCCCTCTAACTTTCATCTTTCACCCCCCCCACCTCGCCCCCCACCCTCCTGGCCTCACCAGCGGGACCGGGAAGCCATTCCGCGTCTTTCCCGGCGTCCACCCGAAAGGCAGGGAGAGCCCATCCTCGTACTCGGCTGGCAGCCAGCGCGCCAGTGCCCTGTTGGCGGCACCCAGCTCAGGGTTCCTCCTGAAACCGGGCGAGATGTGCACTCAGCCTCCGCCCATTTACTCCGGGGTTTGCTTCGCTGCAAATCCCGTGAGGATCCCACGGGAAAAAACCCGGAGCCTCTGCCCGAGGGAAAGGGGACGCGGAGGAGGCGCCTCTCCAATGCGGGGATTCTGAACTACCCCCACTCCTGAAGGTGCGGGGCTTCCCTGCCCTGGGAAAGGTGCTGCTTCCAGTGGGAACCAGTGGTCTCTTTAGAAGGTGGGGGATTAGGGGGGATTCCAACAGGACGGATTCTGGTGGGCGCCAAGTTTAGGAGGGTAAGGCAGTAGGCGTGCTGCCTGGAATGCTCACCGGCCAGGCCCCTGGCTGGGCTGGGTGGTGCGGGGCAGACGGGCAGGGTGAGGCAGGTGGGCTGGGCACGGTGGTCCTGAGGTCCCACAGCCGCCCAAGCCCACTCACCTGTTATTACACTCTCCCGTAATGCTGCGGTAAGAGCTGTTGTCGCAACTCGTCACAGGATCATGGGCACCACAGCCCACCTCCCTAGAGAGTGCAGTCAAGTCCAGGTTGGGGTCTGAAACGGAAGGGACACCAGTGGGGCTGAGTTCCATCTCTATCCCGAGGCACTGCGGGGAGGCAGGAAACGGAAAGCTGGGAGGGACTCAAATTTGGGGGCGGATGTTCTGTGTTCTAAACAAGCATTTCTGAGGTGCTGTCTCATTTCATCCTGACAGCTCACCAAGGAAAGCATTTAAATTCCTCATTAAACTGAGACCACAGTGCTCCAGGGACTTGCCCAAGGCCACACAGGTAAGACCTTTGCAAGGCCCCAGAATTGTGAGTAATTCTTTGTCAGGTCATTTGAATGAATAGAGCTTTCTTTCAGAATAAAAGTACCCCTGAGATGAGATTGTTTGTCTTCCAAAGTTACACTGACATCGTAAGCACTAAACAAGCAGGAATCTAGATAGGAAAGAGGTTGGGGAGGGACAGGTCATTTCAAAGTCGGGGCACTGTGGTCTTGGGAGGAGCAACAGACTGGGGGCTTTAGGCCTGGGAGGCTTCCAGGTGGGCACGGAGTGGAGAGAGCTGCACACTCCCGATGCAGCCTGTGACCCAACGCAACACCTACAGAGAAGGATAAGCGAGGGAATTTAGCCCTGGGGGGCTTCTTCAGGAGGGCCATCTGTGAAAGTTAGCAGGGGCTGGGGTTGGTGCCCCCGTGCTTTGAATCTTGGAGTCCAGAGTGCTGCCTGCTTCTTCCTACTTTGTCCCAGTGTCCTTCTTTTGGAACTTTGAAATTTGCCCAAATCCTGGGCTACATACCTTCTCTCACTGGCTGTGGTGCCAGGGGGAACCGGCAACCTCTCGCTCCTGTCAGATCCAAACCCCTCCCTCCATGATTCCCCAGGAGCTGTGACACTGGTGGGGGGCCGGGGAGGAGGGCTGGGAGGAAGCCCTGATCAACCCATCAGCCCACTGGTTCAGCTCCACTTTACTCAGAAGTTGGAAATCTCCTCTCCTGTGATACAACCCCAGTAAATCCCCGAGACACAGGTGACTTAAATGTCCCCGCCACAGGCAGAATGGTGATGCTGTGGTTTGGAACAGGGAGCCCATGTTTATTGACTTTAGTACTTCCTCTGGATAGAGGCCTGACAGATGGTATTCTAGCAAGAGCATGAATGTCCCCTCGTTTGGAGTTGACAGTGTGACCTTGCTGGACTTTAAGTTCCTTTCTCTGCGAAAACAGAAAGAGCATTTTCCCAGCTGTCCTCTCAGCTCCTCCTTGCTTTGCAGTTCTCCCAGGAGGCGGCTCCTCACAGGGAACACAACTTTCGTGGCTTCTGCTTTCTCCTGCCAGGGGACGACCCCTTCCTGCCATCAGAGGGCTAGGGGGTTTTCTGTACCTGTAGCATTGGTCAAGGTCATTTTCTGCCTCAGTCTCTTTAAGGAGTCCTCCCACACCTGCCCGTTGCGGATGGCTGTGCGCGTCCGGCCCCTGGCATGCTTGAAGTACTCTGAGAGCTGTCGGGGGTCGGGTGCCTCAGAGCTCATGGCAGTCTTCAGCCTACAGTGGAGACAAAAGGGGACTCATGACCTGGCCCCTGGGGCTCTGACCCTGCAGAAAGGGTGGAGGTAGTGTATGTATAGTGAGGCCACAAGAGTATGGGCCTGTGCTCTCAGGATCTTTTCTCAGTTCTCTTCTGGAAAATCTACTGTGGGAGGAGGAAGATGCTGTGTGTCTTTAAGCTTTGCTAGGTCTGGTCCTGAGGGAAGGCTGGCAGGTGGATGTGAGCGCTGCCTGAATTAGAATCAGAGGGTTGTGGCTGTGCCGGCTGCAGCAGGACCTATTAGGGAACCTTGGAAACACTGGTGTCCCAGGACACACAGATTCAGACCAGGGAACCCCTGACGCTCTGTGCAGTCTCCTGCCTGTACTGACTCAGCAGGGACTTATCTCCTGCTTGGCCGGCCTTGGGGCTGGGCTCTGCGGGAGCAGGCAGGTCTTTGGAGGGCCTCTTTCTCCACCTCCACGGCCTCCACCCTCATCCTAGCCACCGTCCTCCCCATCTGGAGGGTCGCAGCCCCCTCCTAGCTGGGCTCCTGCCTTTGCTCCTGTCCCTCTCCCATCCATTCTCTACTCAGCTGCTGGAGTGAGCTTTCTAGAATGAAATTCAAATCATGCCATCCTCTGATGAAAGTACTTCATTGGCTTCCGCTGGGACGTGCATGAATCCATCTGCTTGCCACATGCATGCTGATTATGTTGTGCAATCATTGACTCTATCCAGCTCCCAAACATTTTTACTGCCCCCAGAAAAGACCCTCTGCCGTTCCCAGTCCCTGGCATACCATCCCTTTGCAGGGCTGGCCCCTCCTCGTCCTCCATCATGCTTCCCTGATTCCTGTACCAGGAGTAGCAACCACTGCTCTGTTTATTCCTTCATTCCGTGAGGAGTTCCAGGGTTGTCTGTGTGTTTGTGTAACAAGCTGTTTAAATGTGATCCTCTATGTCTCCATGAGGCCCCCAAGCCCAAGAACTAACTAGTGAGGCCAAGTTGCAAAGCAGGGCTGGTCGTCCTGTGCACAACTTACAGAGGAAGTGATGAACACTTGTTTTGCTGCTTTTATTCTAACCCTAGCTCAGGGCTATGAAAGGATGGACATTAAGGAGGGGGGAGAATTTGCATTTGGAAATAGTTGCTGGAATACTTGCTGTTTCTCTCCTGCCACCGTGGGAAGCTTCCTCTTTGCTTTACTACTAGTGACAAGGGCCAAGTACCATATGATCTCACCTTTAACTGGAACATAATCAACAAAAGAAAAAAAGCAAACAAAATATAACCAGAGTCATTGAAAATAAGAGCAATCCAACAATAGCCAGAGGGGAGGGGACAGAGGGGAGAAGGGTTTTCAGGAACTACTATAAAGGACACATGGACAAAACCAAGGGGGAGGGTGGAAGCAAGGGAGGGAGGCGGGTTTGAAGGAGGCAGTGGGGAGGGGTGGGGAGAAAATATAGACAACTGTAATGGTACAACAATAAAATAATTTTTTTAAAAAGAGGAAGGCCCCTTTGGGTGTCCCGGAGTTGTGGTTGGCTATTGATACCTTCTCAGAGAGCCTAAAGGAAAGAAGTGGTGGCTGGCACTGTGACATGTTTTCCTTTGGGGTCAGCTGAGGCTAAACCTTAAACCACATCCTTGCTTGGCTTCTTCCTTTTACCTCTCTGCTCCCTCCCTTCATTACAGCTTTCCTGAGAGCAATCCCCAATCAGTCAACTGCATGTGAACTCAGGTGTCTGGTTCCACTTCTAGGACCTGACTTAAGTCAGTCAATATTAGCTGAATAAATGGAGAACTTCCACCTGCAGGTTTTCTGAGACCAGAATGCAGGACCCAAGGAAACACTAGCCATGCAGAAGGAAGTGCTTACCCCTGGGGAGGTCACGGCTGATCTGAGAGATACAAAGAAACTCTTTTCTTAAATATTGGTACATAGATCAGATGCATAGGTTCAAGGTCATGACTAGCTGTGTGTTTGTACATGGCTAATGGTAACCCATAATGTTTAAGCCATCAGTTTGGTTATAACACGTGTTTCAGACAGGTGTGTGATATTCAACCTATCCTATAATTTTTTTGACCGAGACCTCTGCAGGGTTTTACCGGGTTAGACTAGACATCCTCTTCCAGTTACCCACAGGATGAGGATTTTAGGAGTTGTGGGCTATTACTCCTGCTTGCCAAGTGCTCCGAGGTGGGGAGGTGGGGAGGTGGGTCGGCAGATTGTGTAGCTGCTTTGGCTCGTTGGCTTGTCAGGGCTGGCCGAGATGTGCTTGTCGTTAGCAGGAAGCCTAGGAAGGGAAGCGTGTTGTGTGTGTGTGTCTCACATACCTGGTCCGAGATTCCAGAAAGGCCTTGCTGACTTGGTCCTTGACCTGACTCACAGTATCAGAGATGGCAGCAGTGCTGGTAGACGGTGCTTGGAGGGGGAGAAATAAGCAGCAGGGTGTCAGACACAATTTTTTTGAGATGCTCTCTGCTTCCGTCTCCCTCTTTCTCATCCACTACCCACTCCAACACCCAAATCTGAGCAGGCACAAGATCAAGATTAGGAAACTTTCACAAGCATCCTCAAGGACAAAAAGCACAGGACAGGAAGAACACTCTATGATCCTCCATAAGATGTCAAAACCGGTTTTGGGGAGTCCACTGGAATCCCCAGTGATGGAATTAAGAAGGTGTGTGGCTGTTCGGGTTGGCTGAAGCTGCTGGGCTGTGGGGCTTTCTCTGGTTCTTAGGGAGCCAGACTCTTAAGCAAGTTCATCAAGGACTTAGCTGACCCCCAGGGCCTTGAAGTAGAAAGAGGATGGTAGGGTAGAGGTGGGATTCCTCATTTCCACTCATTGGGGTCCGGGTGTGGGGTGGGCAGGATGCACTCTCTGAGGAAGAGGAGTATAGTGAGTGAGTGGGTCAAGTAGTGTGCCCCTAAAACACAGGTGCTCGCAGAACCTCAGAATGTGACCTTATTTGGAAAGAAGGTTTTTGCAGACATAATTAATTAAAATAAAGTTATACGGGTATAGATTAAGGTGGGTTCCAAATCCTTTGACTGGTGGTTTTGCAATAAGAGGGGAGGACACCCAGAGGATACAGAGAAGAAGGCTATGTGAGGACAGAGCAGAGCCCGGAGTGATGCAGCTGTAACCCGACGACTCCCAAGGATGGCCAGGAGCCACCGGAAGCTGGAAGAGGCAAGGAGGGAGTCTCCTCTAGAGCCTTCAGAGGAGTATGACCGTGCCGACACCTTGATTTGGGACTTCTAACCTCCTGAACTGGAGGAGAAAAAATGTCTACTGTCTCAAGCCAACTAGTTCGTGGCCCCTTAATACTGCAATCCCAGGAAACCAGTACAGGGAGACACTTACCACACGTAGCAGACTCTGCAGCGTGGAGCAAGGTCAGGAAAGCTAGGAGCCCCGGGACACGAAGGAGGAACCACATTGCTGAAACAAGATCCAGATCATGGTGTGGGCCTTGCAGAGCCCCCAGGGGAGGAACTGAGTTACAGAAAGGGGATGGTAAGGAAGAGAAGCCCGGGGGATACCAGGCACCCTAACATTAGAACAGTTCAGGGGAAGCTACAATACCTAAGACTCTACCATAAGTGCAGGCCCATGCTAGGTACTAGAAAGAGGCAGTGGGAGGGCAAGAACTCAGGCCTTGGCATCTGCAGGTCCTGAGTTGTAGTTCTGATTTGCTCTAACTAGCTCCATGATATTGGGCAGGTTACTCAATATCTCTGGGTCGCTGGCCTGTCAAGTGAGGAGGGCTGGACCAAGGGGGGGTGGGCTGGGAGGGAGGTGGGGAGCACTTTGGGGGGTGGGCTGGGATGGGAGTACAAGACAGAAAACTGTACTTGAACAATAATTAAATAAATTAAAAAAAAAAAAAGCTCAGGCTCCCTAAGCCCACAGCTGTGTCTGCCTGCAGAAATCCCAGCTTCCTTCGTCAGGAGCTTGAACTTTGAACCTAAACCTTCAGATTGAAACTTGGGTGGCTTTGTTTACTAATAACAGGCTCAGGGGCTTAGAGTATTCATTAGGTTTGGTGGAGTAGACCCCAGATATCTTCTGAGGAGATTCTAGCTCCAGCCAGGCAGGTGTCTTTGTGCAGATGGAATGATCACGTGTTTAGATGACGCTCTTGGCAGGCCCTCAGCTTTCCCAGGAGAGCACAGGGCCACCCCTCAGTGTGCATTCACTGGTGGACTCCAGAAACACACCAGGAAGAGCATTTTCAGGTTGGCTGCTCCTCCATATGTACTTGAAGCTCCAGCATGGTCTGGAGCTCTGCCTGAGAGATCACCTGGGCAGTCTTCCAGACCCGCTCTGGATAATCTCCCCTTGGGTTGTTAGGCCAGACCACAGAAGGGGAACTATGTTTCTGGACCAGGTAAGTTCGGCCTCTCTCACACTCTCCCAGTCTTCTCCTCTGCCATTTTATGGTCCCCCTAATAATTTTTATCTTGTTGAATGTGCTTGTTAAAAGCTAACTCTAGAAGAATGAAAAAATATGAGTAAATACTTCCCTGGCCAAGATTCTCTCTGGCACTTTTTTTCCAAGAGGAATTTTCAAGGGGCTTGACCCTCATTGGGCTCCTGTCCTTATAGCTCTGTGGACCCAGGTAGAACCAACCAGACTCCTTCTCTCTGTGACTCAAGGAGACCATGGAGCAGAAATGGGCCTTTTCAGGCAAATAAAGATAATGGTTTTGGAGTAAAAGGCATTGTTGGTGTAGATATATATACACACATATATATGTATATATGTGTATATATATTATACACACACATACATATACACAGACACACATTTAACTGTGGTAAAACCATGTAGCATAAAATATATTATCATAACCGTTTTAACCATACAGTAGAGTAGTGACAAGTACATTCACATTGTTGTCCAACAGATCTCTAGAAGTATTTCATCTTGCAAAACTGAAATTCTATATCCACTAAGCACCAATCCCCAGTTCCCCCTCTTCCTAGCCTCTGGCAACCATCATATCATTGTTTTTTTAAAGAGGGCTGGTAGGCACACATATATTCATTATACTATTCTTTCAATAATTAATGTATTTCATTATAAAAACAAAAAATGAAAGATTAGTCTATGAATTTAAAAAAAGGCATCATATGAGCTAGACTGAAGAGAAAAATGTCAGAGCCAAAGATATGGGAGTTGAGAAAACTGAACAGTAAGAAAAAAAATTAGATACTCATTTCTTCTCTCTTATCCTTGGAACAGCCTTCATACTCCCCTCACTGAGTAGTTGGGGTGGGGGGTACCTCAAGGTCAAAACTAAATTATTTTCCATGTGTTAGTCAACTTTCCTGGTGGGGGTGAAGAAAAGATGTGAGACAGAAAGCAAAGCCAGGCAAATGCGAGGTCAGGCCACTGGAAAAGGGTGTGAGAAAGATCATGGAGGGCAGTAGCTACAGCCAGAGTCAAACAGGGCAGAGGGTAGAAGAAATGGCACTTTAGAGAATGAGTCCGAAAAGAGGCTTCTGTGATGTTTGGATGTTTACCTACATTCTTATCATCATGCTTAGTACAAAAACCATTTTTCAGTCTATTTAATTGGTGGCAAGGCCCGGTGCCTTCCCTGGGACATGACAGTACACAGAGGCAGAGCCATGACCTCCGCTCTTCAAATGCCAGGCTGGTCTACAGTCCCCTGCCTCCATTCATGCTCTTTCCTATGCAACACACTCTCGGCCTGATAAATTCTTATTCATTCTTCAGAACCCAAGCCAGATTTCCACTCAAGATAGTGGCATAGACAGACGTGGATTGCCTCTTCGCACAACCACATCAAAATTACAACTAAAATATAGAACAACCATCACTCAGAACCATCAGAAATCAAGTTGAAGGGATGTCTGACAACTACAGAATTAAAGAAACCACATCTATCCAGAGTGGTAGGAAGGGTACAAATGCAAATTGGGCTGGTCCCACATCCATATGTGGTGGATAAAAATTTGGGAGGGATATCTTGGGAGTGAGGAGTCCCAGCCTCACACCACGCCCCTCAGCACAGGGTACCAGTGCCAGAAAGAGAAGTCCCCACAACTTCTGGCTGCAAAAACCAGCAGGTATTGAGTTGGTAGAGGAAACTGCTGGAGCCTCAAGCAGTTTCTCATAATGAACCCATACATGGACTCACCTACTCAGAGTCACTCCCTCTGAGCTCCAGCACCAGGGTAGAAGCTTGGAAGGCACCAGTGGCATATAGGGAGAAACTGAGTGTCTGGCATCAAGGGTGAGCCGAGGCCATTGTTACTTTTCTAAGCCCTTTCTCCAAAGAACCACAGAGCAGCAAGCTGGTGCTCTGAGACTCCATCAACCTAGCTAATACTGTTTGACCCACCTTAAAGATCCCCATAGACTCTGCTCCACCACCCAAGCTCCTTTTCCATATGAATGGCTGGTCTTGGATCAAGCTTCACAACCTTCTTAATCCTCTTAAACAAGTAACAGCTACCCTCAGTGAGCCCTAGGCTCACACTAGCAGCAGACAGCTAGATTCACAGCTTGGTTTTTGCCTTGGAATCTACAAGCCCAGCACAAGTAGCAACCATCTCAGATTGCTTTATAGCTCAGGCAGGACCCCAGGCAAAACACAGGTGGGGACTGACCTTGGCCTGCAACACTTGGGAAACCCCTGGATCAGCACACCCAGTGGACAGCTATAGACCACATCAGAGCACCACCACCCTGCTGCTGCATAACTGATCCTCCATAGAGGGCAGAGGTGGGTCACAGCCCCACCTCAGTGGTCACAGCCAATCGTTGCAGCTGACTGGCCTGAATAAATCCTTCCCATTGACTTGCCGACAGCAGCCAAGGATCAACTACAAGAGGAGGGTGTACGCAGCCCACATGAAGGGTGCACCTTGAGTACCCAGCTTGGATGATAGGGAAGACTGTGCCACCCGATGCTGTAGGACACCTACTATATTAGGTCACCCTACCAAGACACAGAGTCAAAGCAGCTCTACCTAATACACACAAACAAAGACAGAGAGGCTGCCAAAATAAGAAGACAAAGAAATATGGCCCAAATGAAAGCACAGATCAAAATTTCAGAAAATGAGCTAAACAAAATGGAGATAAGCGATCTATGAGATACAGAGTTCAAAACACTGGTTATAAGAATGCTCAAGAAACTTAGTGAGGACCTCAACAGCATAAAAAGGATCCAGGAAGATGCAAAGAATACACTAATTGAAATAAAGAACAATTTATAGGGACACAATCATAGAGTGAATGAAACCAAAAGTGAAATCAATGATTTGGAACGTAAGGAAGCAAAAAAGCAACCAATTAGAACAATAAGAAGAAAAAAGAATCCAAAAACATAAGGATAGTATAAGCAGCATCTGGGACAACTTCAAGATGTCCAACATTCACATCATAGGGGTGCCAGGAGAAGAAAAAGAGCAAGAAATTGGAAATCTATTTGAAAAAACAATGAAAGAAAACTTTCTGAAATTGGTAAAAGAAATAGACTGGGAAGCACAGAGAGTCGCAAACAAGATGGATGCAAAGAAGCCCATGCCAAGACACACCATAATTAGAAAGCCAAAGGTTAACAAGAGAGAATCTTCAAATCAGCAAGAGAAAGGCAGTTAGTTACCTACAGTGGAGTTCTCATAAGACTGTTAGCTGATTTCTCAAAAACAAAACAAAACAAAAAAAACCCCCAAAACTGCAGGCTAGAAGGGACTGGCAAGAAATATTCCAAGTGATGAAAAGTGGGGACCTACAACCAAGATTGCTCCACCCAGCAAAGATAGCACTTTTAGAATCAATGGGCAGATAAAGAGCTAGCTCATCATCACCAAACCATTATTACATGAAATGTTAAAGGAACTCACTTGAGAAGAAGATCAAAACTTTGAACATAAAATGGCAAAAACACTTATCTATTAACAGTTGAAGCTAAAAAACAGACTAAGCAAACAAGAATAGAGAGAATCATGGATACAGAGAGCACTTTAATGGTTGCCAAATGGGAGAGGGTTGTAGGGGAATGGGCAAAATAATGAGGGGATTAGGAAGTACAAATAGGTAGTTACAGAATAGTTACAGGAATGTAAAGTATAGTATAGGAAATGGAGTAGCCAAAGAATTTATATGCATGACCCAAGGACATGAACAATGGTGTGGGGATTTCCTGTGGGAGTGGGGGGTGCTGGGTGAAGGGGAGTAAAGGGGGGAAAACCAGGATAATTTTAATAGCATAATCAATAAAGTATAATTTAAAAAAACTAAATAACTTCTAAAAATCCCAAGCCAAATGCCACCTTCTCTGTGAAGTGTACCAGGTTTTTTTGAGGCAAATGTAGGTCATTTTTCTCCCTCTCTTTCTATAGTACTTTACTCAGATCTCATATCACTGTTTTGACATCTGTTTCCCTATTACTTCAAGA